TGCCAAAAGGGATGTCCTTGGAAAGAAGGGCTGCAGGGGAAAGATGACTTAGTGCATAAGTGCGTAAGTGATGCCATCTCTTCCAAAGAAGAGGGAATTGGCAAGATCATTTAAAAAAAAAAAAAAAAGGACCAGGTTTGCTGGTCTAAAAAGCCTGGTGAGACCCCTGAGACTATGGTCCCTAGTTACCCTTCAGGTCTGGAACTGAATGCACTCCTGTGGCTTCCAGTCAAACAATAGACAGGCATATGGGGTGAACATTTACATCAGGTAGATACCCTCCATGGAATGAGCAATTGTGGGAGAATAGAAGGGCAGTGTTTGCACAGGGAGACAGCTGTGGGGGGGTGGGAATGCATGGGAGGGAAGGACACAGAGAAGAGGTAACTACAGGGAGCAAGTGGGAAGAGAGCTATTGCACTGTGGGGAATTGCAGTTGATGCCATGAAACAAAATGTGTATGAAGTGCTGTATGGAAAATGAATTTGCTCTGTAAACTGTCACCCAAATCACAGTAAAAAATTTAAAAAAAAAAGAAGGGGGAGTTGGTTGCTCCATCCCTGACTGTGAGAGGCTAATGAAAGATGTGTCATCTTAGTTGAAACTCCTGGAGCCACTTCTCCAGGCTTGAGAAATGAGATGGTGGCCGAGGCTCCAGAAACTTGCAGCACCTTGCACCTTCTTCCCAAGTGTGGTAGTTAAGGTTGTGTGTCAACTTGGCTGGGCCTGGTTTTGAGTGGCTGGGCAGCTGGATATAGTTATTCCCCATGATGAGACTGGTAATCAACTCCATGGTGGAAATTACTAGAGCAGCTGAGTAGTTGCCTTAGGGATGTGCTCTGCTTCCAGTATATAAGAAGACAGCTTTGAGGAAGGTCTCTGAGCTTTTTGGCATGCTTGGATCCTGCATGTAGCCGAGGCTTCATTCAGCAGCCTGACACAGTGCCTGCCAATCGTGGGACTGTTTCCGGACTTGCTAGTGGCCTGCCATGTTGTTTGGTAATCTTGACCCTGTGCTATGTTGTCAACCTTGGGTTTGTCAGTCTCAGCAGCCAACAGCTACCTAAGTTAAAAGAAGCTTCTAGCTTCAGTGGGCCCAGAGAAAGAGGCAGAGCTGAAGCCCAAGGTCAAGGGGCTTTCACCCAGCTCCTAGAGCTAGCACTTTGAACTCAGACTTCTAGCCTCCTAAACTGTGAGAATAAACCCATTTGTTAAAGCCACTCATTTGTGGTATGTCTGTTAGAGTGGCACTAGAGGACCAAAACACCAAGTACCTACCTGGACTGATCCCCAATACCTCCATCAGGCTTCATACCTCAGCTATCCCCAGAAATCCCAGCCTTTCAAGTGCTTGCGTCTCTTATCCCCAGACAACCCAACCTCTCACCTTTCCAGATCCTTGAACTATGCCCTATATAATGTAAGGCAGTCATCCTCTCTCCTACCATCTTAACTTGCCTGACAAAACCCCAATCCTCGTCAAACATAAGGAGCCCTGGTAGCATGATAGTTAAGTGTTCAGCTGCTAACCTAAAGCTCAGTGGTTTGAACCTACCGGCCACTCCATGGGAGAAAGATAGGACAGTCTGCTTCCATAGAGATTACACAGCCTTGGAGACCCTATGGAGCAGTTCTGTCTGCCCAACAAGGTCTCTATGAGTTGGAATCAACTGGACAGCAACAGGTTTCATTAAACCTAACCCATCCACCCACCCCCTGCCTGTGACTCTGGAGCAAAACACTCACTGCATCAACTGGCCTCCCTTCAAATTCATGACATAGCTCAGCAAACTTTCTTTGGAGATCCTGGACAGAATGGGAGGATAATGTAGAACTAAATTCAAACTCAAAAGAAAAAAAAAAAAAAAAAAAGCTTACTGGTCTGATCAAGACTGGTGAAATCTCCAAGACTATGGCCCCTAGTCACCCTTCAGGCCTGGAATTGAACTCACTCCCATGGCTTAACCTTCAGCCAAACAATAGACAGAACCATGAGGTGAACAATTACACCAGTGAGGTGTACTCCTTGGAACAATCAACCATGGGAGATCAGAAGGGCACCATTTGTGCAGAGAGATAGCTCAGAAGGCAGGAATGTATAGGAAAGGACACAGGGAAAAGGTAACCACAGGGAGGAAATGGCAGAGAGCCATTACATTGTGGGGATTGCAGTCGATGTTACCAAACAAAATGTGTATGAACTGTTGAAAACAATTTGCTCTGTAAACTTTTCCCAAAATCACAATAAAAAGTTTTTTAATAAAACATTCCTAGTGTGCTCCCTTTTCCCTTTCTGCCTCTCCACCTCTTGCTCATCGCCCCCTCACATTCACCTGACACACCTTGCTTATGCCTGCTTCAGGACCTTTGCACTACGTTTTCCCCAGATTTTTACAGGGCAGGGTCCTTCTGGTCTCAGCTGAAACACCACATGCTCAAAGAGACCCTTCCTAACCAACAGCCAAAAGAAACATCCCTACTACAAATACCAGATGCTTTATTTGTCGTTTACTGTCTATCCCTTTTCCCATCCCTGAATATAAACTCCATGAAAATAGAAACCTTGCCTTAACTGTGTTACTCTGTGTCTATAACAGAGCCTGCCTGACATAGTAGACATTCAATACATGTCTGTTGAATGAGTACATAAGGTGATGAATGAGCCCAAATAGCTATGTGGTTGGGAAATGGGGGAGTGAACAGGTCAGAGAGCCCTAGGAGGGGGTGGCTACCACCCACACTGTGGTTAACACTCCAGGACCCTATGTGCCATCAAGTCAGACCTGACTCATAGCGCCCCTTCCTAGGTTTTCCAAGGTGGTATCACTACAGAAGTAGATTGCCCAACCTTCCTTCTGAGGAGTGGCTGGTGGGTTTGAACTCCCAGCCTTCTGGTTAGCAGTCAATTGCCTTAGGCACTATGCCACCAGAGCTCCCCAGGACCCTATACTCATCTCATTCCCACTTCTTCATGCTGGGCCTCAAGGGGCTGAACCATCACTGGACCAGTAGGCACTATGCAAGGTGGAGCTTATAGGTTCTAAGGCCAGAACTATTCTGGGGACCTGGCTCTCCAGTGATAGGTGGCTTCCTGGGGATGAAGGGGGGTCTTCAGGACAAGGACCACCCCCAAAGAAGGGTAGGAACCTATCTTCCTCTTGCATCACCAGACCCAGACAGCCTCACCTCACCTTCTGGAGAGCTCAGACTCAGACTATTAATAGTCCCTATGGGCAGCACCTCACAGAGTACAAAGAAACCCCAGCCAGGTGCCAGAGGCCTGGTTCAGCCACTTGAAGAGGCAGATGGGTCGTGAAGCAGTCATAATTATTTTTGTGGCAGATGTAGGTGCAGCATGCACTGCTTCTTCCTACGGTTGGCCCAGTGTCTCTGCCTGACAATCAGGAGCATGGCCAGAGCCTCTACGCACTCCAAACTCACATCCAGACACACCATGCCTGGGAGCAAAAAGACAGTGTTTCCCCTGACATTCTTCCCTGAGGCTAATGCTCGAGACTAGGCCCTTTTTCAGTCTCAGAAAACGCTTGACTCAAGACTGAAACTTAAGATCAACTGAAGGTAGAGGATCCTCTGACTGTATCTTCGTGTCCCTTGACCCAACTTCAGCTTGTGACCACCCAGGAGGTTGGCAAAGGCCACACCCCTCCTGGTACCTAAGCACTCCAAAGCCTTAACCCTGCATTTCATTCCCCTAGTCATGGAAACTTGGATAAGTCCATTTTCTTCTCCAAGTCTTTTTCCTCCTCTGGAAAATGGGTATAGCCACTTCAGTACCCACCTTCACAGGGCAGTCAAAGGTTAAAGGCATTTGTGTGTGAAGTAGTCAATACAGCACCTGGCATGTAGCAAATACTCAATTTTTATTTCTGTCCCAAAGCATCTGAGACTCCTGGCCCCACTGGGACAGGGTATCAGCTCCTGTGCCCCTCTCGCCCCAAACAGCTTCTGACAGGCCACAGTAACAGTGTGCACTGGACTAGAAGGGATCCTGCTTAGGGCCACTCACTATTGACTCCTGGAGACTTTCTTTGCTCCTGGAACAGCCTTCACAAAGAAAGCCAGGAGCTAGAGAATAGTACTAGTGCTTGGCTGATGGTAAATGTACAGGGATATGGGGTGCTGGACCATCCCCCAGCCCCTTTCCACTTTCCAGAGCCTCATTCCAAGAAGCCCAGGTGGGGGTGGGAGCAAGATTCTTAGTAACAGTGATTTGGGGTGGAGATGAGCTTCAAGTCCTCTGTTCAGAGGTAGTCCTGGTAAGGGACCCCTCTTCATCTCCCGTTTCCTGACACCCCTCCACCTAGAAGCCTTTCTGCCCTCCAGGAGAGTCAGTTAGGCTCTGAAAGTCTAAGGAAGCAGGGTTAAGAGGGTAGGGCTGCAGAGCAATGTTCCCAATGCCTAGATCTCAGAGACAGGAATCTGTTCCCAGGGTCCCAGTCACAGGGATTACTCAAGGCCTGGTCCCATGGGACATGCAGACCAGCACCTTTAATCCATATTGGAGAGGTGGGACACAGACAGGCTCCCAAGGGCCTTCAGCACTAGAAACTGCTTCTTCCCCACCCCTCCCAGATGCCCTGTCCCAGGATCTTCCAGGGCTAGAGCAGACTCAGCCATCCCCTAATAGGCTTGCCTTCCCCTAAAGCAGACCTAGGGAGCTTGTCTGTCCCCAGGAGCCATTGGGGAAGCAAGACGGGAGAGGGTTCTGCACATCTGAGAGAAAGTGGCCAGACTGGGGCTGAAAGACAAGGGAGTGCTGCCCAAAGGATTAAGCAACCTGGCTCCTCTGGACAGAAGATTCTGTCTCGCCACTGGGAGACAAAAGCCACAATAACCTCTGGGAATTCTCATAAAGTCATTTCCAGGTGTATGACCAACCTCCTGGGAAAGCTGGACCCCCCTAAAGCAACCTAAACAGGTCCTAGCTGACTTTCTGCTTCTATAGATGGGGCTGGGGGTACAATGGGTGCCTGGGCTAGTCAAGGCCACTCCAGACCACCACCAGGAGCGCCTGCTCCAGGCCTTGAGCTTGAGGTGGATGCTGGGGCCTGAGGTGGCCTTGCAAGGTCCTCCACACTGAACTCCTGAGTAGAGGGGAAGAAGATCTCTCCAGATCCTCCAGCAATATGCTGGTCTCCAACCTTAGAGCCACTGGGGTGAGAACTCCTGGATTCCACCAGCAATGCCTTCAGAAGCCTCTGCAAGTACGGCCTGGAAGCAGGAGTGGGGCTCCTTCCACTGCTGTGGGCCTGGAAGCCTGGAGCAAGAAAGATAGGAAGTCATGTCCCAGAATCACAGAAGGAAGATGTGTGGCCCAGCTTCATTCACAGATATGTAGAGCTCAGCCCACAGGCAATACTAACCAGCTATGATGGATCCAGCTGCCCCAACCCTATTAAGCCCCTAAGACTTTCAAGACCCAAATTCTTACACTCCCACTAAAAACAAGAGGACAGAGCCATCCTATTCACTTCCCTCTTGGCCTACAGTCACCACCAGAAGATCAGCTCTCTCAACGATTCCATGACCACTCTACTCCTACCCCAGGCTGTCCAGTTGGCTGACTCAACTGATCCAGCACTACAGCCTTTGACGTCCAAAACTTTCCTTGGGCCACTCTATGTACAGCAACACCCCCACTTCCCATCTTGCATCTGAAACTTCCTTCTAGAACTTTTTCTGCACTTGGGTCCATATCCAAACCCAGAGCATCAGGAAGATATGGTTCTGGGTGCTCTCAGGCCTATGTGCTGCACCAGGAGGTAGGTCAGTCCTCCTTGCTCTTCACTGCCACTCCCAGACCATGACTGCTGCTCACTACCTTGTAAGTACTCATCCTTTTTTAGGTCTAAGTTTTTTAGGCTGTATTCTGCCTCTCATCCTTGTTGTTCCTGCCCATGCATCAAAAGCTTCACCCATCCCTCAGTCAACACTGACCAATTCCACACTGGCACGTTTCAACCAGTGACTTTTCTACCCTCCTCCATCCCATGTCCTTCCTTGGCTTAACAGCCCACTCTCTCCACTACCAATCTGGTTGGAACCAGAAACCACCATTGAAATCTCCATTTCCAGCAGCCCACTCTGACAGTGGCCTCTTCTCCTTCCAGCTCACTTGCTCAAGTATTATAGTTCTTCAAAGCTCTCAAGACCACCATTCCATGAACCCCAACCTCACCACTCTGCCTCACTTCTGGACTGCTCTGCTTAACCAGTTTGGACTCCACAGCTCTCATCATTGTAATCGTTCCTCTGGAGACATCCTCAACCAACTTCTGTCACAACTGCTTACAAAACCCTCATCCTGGATGACCAACTAGCCAGACCACACCATACTTCCACCTGAGCACCCAGGTGCCCACAGCACTGCCTGCAGGTTTCCTTGCTTCTTCTCTAGTCAGCCTTCACATCTTCTCCTTCATATCCATCTCTTTCTCCTTGCTACCTCTCAGCTGGCCACCTTACCTCACCCTTTATGAGACCACATCCCTCAAACATCAGTCCTTTTGTGTATACATCTCAAGACCCACATGCAAACTCAGGGCTATGTCTGTCTTTTTCCCTCCTATTAGCTCCAGAAGCTCCTCAGTTCCCACCAAGGGCAACTCCTCCCTGAATATTCTGGATGTTCTTGACTGTCCCTCCACACTCGGCATTCTACTTCTCTGGTGAGTCATCATTTTAGCATCCATATGCTTGCATGTCTACCATCTCAATAACACTTTTGACTCCCAGCCCCTTCTAGCAACCTCGCAATTTTCCCTTCCTCATGATAATCAAATCTCCAGAACAATTACCCACAAAACTCATGCCACATCTCCCAGTCTTTTTAACAGAGAAAAAGTAATGTTAGCTGTGTATATATATATGAATAGCCTTTTTAATGAATGATATTGGAAGAACTGGATATCCACATGCAAAAGGGTTTAGATCCCTTCCTTACATCATACACAAAAATTAACCTCAAATGGAGCACAGTCCTGAATGTAAGACCTAAAATTCTAAGACTCTTAGGAGAAAACATAAGGGTAAATCTTCATGACCTCGGGTTAGGCAAAGCCTTCTTGGAGGTGACACCAAAAGCACAAAGCACACAAAAAAAATAAATAAATTGAACTTAATGAAAAACTTTGGTGTTCAAAGGATACCAACAAGGAAGTGAAAAGCCAGCCCACAAAACAGGAGAAAATATTTGGAAAGCATATTATCTGATAAGGAACCAGTGTAAAGAACTCTTACAACTCAGTAAGAAGTCAACCCTGTTGAAAAATGAACAAAGATTTGAACAGACATTCTGAAAAGTATACAAGTGGCCAGTAAGTCCATGGAAAAATGCTCATCAGGGGAATGCACATTAAAAACACAATGTGATACTTCAGCCTACTAATACGGCTTTAATCAAAAGAGCAGATAATAACAAGTATTTACAGGAAAGTGGAGAAATTAGAACCTTTATACTCTGATTGTGAAGATGTAAAATGGTACATCCACTTTGGAAACAGTTTGGTAGTGTCTTAAAAAGTTAAACAGAGTTACTATAGGACCCAACAATCCTACTCATAACTATATACCCAAGAATTGAAAGATATGACCACACAAAGACTTATACACAGACGTTCACAGCCGTATTACTCGTACTAACCAAAGAGGTAGGGGGGGATCCAAATGCCCATCAAGTGATGAATTGATAAAATGTGATATATTCCCAAATTACAAAAAAAAGAAAATTCTTAAACAATATGTGATATATCCATACAATGGAATATTATTCAACCATAAAAAGGAATGAAGTACTGATTCATGTTACAACATGAATGAACCTTGAAAACACTATGCTAAGTAAAAGAAGCTAGTCAGAAAAGTCTACATATAGTATTAATTTCATTTAAGTCCACAGACTTAGGGCCTGGGAAGCACTAGTGCTTGGAGCAGAAGGAGAAGAGGGTCAGGGTTACGTCTTACGGGGGTCATACCCATGGCATGGGAGGATGGATTTGAGATGGGGCCATGGTATCTTAGTGAGCTAGTGCTGTTGTAATAGGGGTTTTGTGTTTCCCAGTTCAGGACACTAGATGTCAGAATAAGGGCACGAACGGGAGGAGTCTCCCTGCCGCCTCTGGGGGACAGTCCTTGTGTTTTTCCAATGTCTAGGCCTCGGTTCCTTGGAGATCCTGGGTGCAGTGGGTCTGGCTTCCTTGCTAGATTCACCCTTTTATGTCTCAGAAGTGACAGGCTAATGACACACCCACTGATATGGCCTCATTAACAAAACAAATAAGCCCTTGACCCAAAGGAATTCTATCCACAGGTGTAGAGGTAAGGATTCCAAGAGACATCTGTTGGGGACATGAAATATTCAGAATAGGCAAATCCAAGGACAAAATGTAAATTAGTGGTTGCCTAGGGAGGGAGGTAAGAGGAATGGAAAGTGAATGCTAACAGGTAGAGTTTCTTTTGTGGGTGATGAAAACATTCATAAAATTGTGATGGTTGCACAACTTTGTTAATATGTTAAAAGCCACTGAACTGTATACTTTGAGTGGGGAGTTGTGTGGCATATAAATTATATGAAGTTCATATATTGTTGTTTGTTGCTGTTGAGTCAATTCCAACTAATGGTGACCCCATCTGTGTAGAGTAGAATTGCTCTATAGAGTTTTCAAGGCTGTGAACTTTAAAGCAGATAATCAGGCCTGTCTTTTAAGGCATATCCAGGTGGGTTTGAGCTAGTCGTCAAGGACTTAACCCATTGCTCCATCCAGGGACTCATATAATAATTTCTGCAGTCTGGGAAGATAGATACCCAACTCAACTTAAAAGCTATAAGATATCTATATAGCTAAGTTGACCCATATGTTCTTCCTACCTCCCCCAGAAGTAACCATTCACATTGAATTTTCTGTCAATCGTTCTCTTGCTTCTTACCACATTTGTGTGTATCCCTTAATAATATATTTTGCTTCTTACTGTTTTTGAACTTTATAATAACGGTATCATGAAATGTAATCTTCCATGACTTGGCCTCCACCCAACTTACATTTCTGAGAGCCATCTCTGTTGTATGTAGCTATGGCTCACTTATTTTTCACTGCTATATAATTTTCCATTATGGAAATATACTATAATTTATTCATCCATTCTTCTGTCAATTGAATCTTCTATGTTCCTCAAACCACCCTGCCCTGTGTCACTTACCTCTACCAGGGGGGCTTTGACCACTTGGTCTGCAGTCATAAAGCCTGAGGACCCGTGTGACATCCAAGGCACTCAGGTTCCATCGCTGGCCAATGTGGATACTGGGGTCCCAGAGTGGCAGGATGGTGGGAATCCCACGCCGGCTGAAGGCAAGCCTGGAACTCAGCAGGCAGAGACTTGAGTCTGGATCACAGCAAGGGCTGGGAGGGCCATGCAGAGGAAAGAACAGAAGAAAGGAGGGATAGGGGTGTCCTCACCTCCCATAGTGCATCACTGATGAATAGTCATAGGGCACCAGCATGTTACTGCTCTGAGACTTGAGGAAGTTGATTTCATAGCCTGAGGAGAAAAAAAAAAAAAAAAGAATGTTTGAAAATGTAGGAAGAAGGCACACTGGAAGTGAGGTCAGAGAGAGAAGTACAAGGGATGTGGGAAGGAGAGGATGGGTCTGACTACTGCCGGCTTCTGGGAATTTATAACTCACCTGGACTGAACAGTCAGAAACGACAGCCCAGTCTTCCTCCAGCCCCAACTCAATGCTGGTCCTTGTCTCCTTCACACCTTCCTTACCCACTCTCATCCCTGCTGTTGGAGGGCTTCAGACCTGTGCCAGGTGATATGGTAGCACCTGGCCCCATGGCTAGATGGCTGGCCATCACCTCCTAACAGTTCTCTCTACCTCTTACTTCTTGCTTCTCCTGAAATTCACCATGTGTAGGTCTAATCTTTGCATAGCCTATATAACCTTCCATTGAGTCACACAGTGCTCAAAGTGGCTTGGATACCTCTCTTCTCAGAAGATAAAATGTCTACTCCTTGGCATAGCTTTAAGGGCCCTCTATCCCCAATACCCTACTCTTCGAGTTTAGCAACTTCCACACCTTCCACCTTTCTTACAGTCACCAGCAGCCTCCTTATTGCTAATGAAATCAGCATTCCAGTGCCTCTATATCAACCAAACCCATTGTCATCAAGTACATTCCGACTCAGAGCAACCCCAGAGTGCAGAGTAAAACTGCCCCAAAGGATTTCCAAGGCTATGATCTTTACAGTAGCAAACTGCCACATCTTTCACCCATGGAACAGCTGGTGGGATTGAACTGCCCTACTGCCTACCTACCTGTCTAAAAATATCTGAACCTAGGGAGCTCATTTCTTCCTCTTAAAACCCTTGTATTATTAAGCATAGTTTTGAATATGCAATATATTCACATGGTTAAAAAAAATTTTTTTAAGTCAAACATTAATATATAGTAAGAGACTCCCGCTCCCTCCTTCCCTGCACACTCCCCACCCCCCACAACAGTTAATTAATTTGTTAGTTTGTGTCCTAGCAGTTGTTCTGCACATATTAACTAAATCAGGTATATTATCACTTTCTTCCATTCTCAGCAAGAAAAGACTTTTCCCCGATTAAGGTAGATAATGTTGTACCCTGTTTTATTATTTAAAAAACAGCTCTTGGCGACTGGAACCTTAAAAGCTAGGAAGCTGCCATCTAGATGCAACAACGGGTCTCTCCTCGTCAAGAAGAAAACCAAAATTAATGGAAACAACCAGTCCTAGCGACTGGTACACCATCCGATCTGCAACCTATACAACTATGAGACCAGAAGAACTAGATGGTGCCC